AATCATATGACCTTTTCCAAGACAACATCTTAGGCTGATCCCCATTATTTTATAGTGAAAGCTACAAATCAGTTTCACTTTAGCATGCAATTTAAATTATATTTTTGCCCCTTTGTGGAGCAGTCCTATGCAATAAATAGAATGCCAAAATTTTATTTGTAGTTATTAGTAGCCAAAAATGGTGAGTTATAAATTATATATATGTATTTTATGTATATAATCACATACACATATATATATATTTGAACATATATGTGTGTGTCTATATAGAAACACACGCATATAGATATAGATATAGATATAGATATAGATATAGATATAGATATAGATATAGATATAGACATAGATATAGATATAGATATAGATATAGATATAGATATAGATATAGATACACAGATCCATATGCCTATATTTGGGTCTGAAGAAGTACCTTAAGTCTGGAAATGAAATAATTGTTCTGTTTTCATACTGTTGCTTATTTTCGGGAAAATACTCTGTCAAAGTATGAATAAAATAAGACTCACCTCAGATCACCAACTTTCTAGGTTAGATGTAATATGGTAATTGATATTTGATTTGAAGTCTAGAATGAATACACAGACTAGTGCAACTGTATTATTTTCTCTTCACAATTTGATGCCCTCAAAAAAAAACAACTTTCTTTTCTCATTAAAAACTTTAGTGAAAAGCAGGCAAGGAACATATACTGAGCTCTTATTAAATATAACAGGGTGGTAAAAACAATAAATAAAAGATATAGTATCTTTTGTGTTTTATGAAACATAACTATAGGGCAGTTTCACATATTTAACTTTGTCAGAGTTGCTCATATTATACCCTCAAAAGTGCTGGATGAAGACTGGGGATGAGTGTGGTAATCCAAGAAGGATCCCTGGAGATAGCCTCATGAAGCAGTCATGTTTTAAAAGTGTTGATTGACATGAATTAATAGAGAGAAGAGGGACATTCTTAATGAGATATATGTGTAAATTTCAGAATAGGTCAGTTGTATGTGGAAAATTCTTGACAGGCACTTTAACCCAAGTAGCAACTCAGAAAAGGGGAGAAATAAGAAATGACATTTTGGGGTAAGGTTGGTAAAAGAAGTGAAAAGATTTGAAAGGACAAATTAAAGTGTTTTAGATTTTATATGATGATTAATGAGAACTCAGAAAATTACTGAAGAATAGATGGGAATTGTGTTTGATGATATATGTGAAGATGGATTAGAAGGTCAAGGCACTGGGCCCATGAGGCTATATGAAGGGCTAAATTAGAGATAAGAAGATAAACTATTGGAGCTACAACATAATTTGGAGATAATATGGTCTCTATCCTCATTTTAAGGGCAACTATGGGGCGCAGTGGATAGAGTGCTGGGTCTGGAGTCAAGAAGGCTCATTTTTTTTTCCTGAGTTAAAATCTGGCCTCAGATACTTACTGGTTGTGTGAGCCTGGGCAACTTACTTAATCATGTTTGCCTCAGTTTCCTCATCTGAAAAATGATCTGGAGAAGGAAATGGCAAACCACTCCAGGAACTTTGCCAAGAAAACTCCAAATGAGGGTAACAGAGACTCAGACATGACTGAAACAAATGATCAACAACATCCTTATTTTATAGAATGGGGAAACTGAGTCCCAGAGAAAACATATAATTTGCACAAAGTTATCTAGCTAGAACATTAAGAAGCCAGATTTAAATCCAAATCATCTCAAGTTGTCAGTGTCAGTAAATAATGATAATTGTGTTAATAACTAGCAATTGTATAGTACTTTGCAAAAATAAACATTTGCCTAGCTCTTTGCAAATATTAAATTGTTGAAATTATTTTTTTTCTTTCTAAAATACCAGTAGGACATGAGAATGCAATTTTGAAGACTAAAGAGAAAAGAGTATATTAGACATAAGAATGGTGATTCTATTGATAACATTGGAGAAATTAAAAATGGAGAATAGAATATGAGGACAAATTTCAATCATTAATGGCATGTTAAAGTGTGCTTGATAACTATACACTTCCAAGATTCATATTTATCCTTTCTGTTAGAAACATACATTATTGCTCTTGGTGACCCAGAATAACAACAGCATAACAACATTTGTTAATAAATTTTCATTATTTGAATAGATTTACTATTTCAGGATATATAGTTGATAGATTTCTCTTGAGGATTGTTGTCTTTCACCACATATTTCCAAAGACTTTTCTTTTCTTCCTCCCGCCTCAATTTTCCTTTCTCTTCCTGTACTCCTTTCACTCCAAATAAACAGGAAAAATATACTTCATATAAAGTATTAATCATTTAATATTTTTTGACATTTCAAAGAAATTTATCTTTGAAATAGATCTCATTTTTGTGAATAGCTAGTTGTATGTTCGGGCTTCATCTTTCTCAATAACATTAAAAAAACTATAATAAAAAAGCTTCTTCACTGACTTGTTGATAATTTCACAGTTTTCATTTTGTATAAATGAAGGAAATGTATCTTTAATATTAAATTATTGAATTCCTCATTGTGTTTTGACTCCATCTGTCACTTTTCTTCCCAGGATACCACATACTAAGATATTTCAGTTTTCTAAAAATACTTGCTATTACTAAGGGATATGAATATGTATTACTAATGTAGTCCCCAGCTTCTCCCCTCTGACTCGACCAACACTCTGAGTTCTCTAATTAACTATTCCAAGTTCAAAGAATGATATTGTCTCCAAACTATCACTCCTGAGCTTTCTATATCTTCATGCTTTTTAATTCTTTACTGATAACATAGTTGGTTCACAATGAATTTTAATTAATAGAAGTATACACAAAGGGAATATGTAACATTCTGTTCTTTATAAACCTTAAATTATCACAAGTACATACATACTAACTGGGAAAAGTGTACATTTTAAAGAATTATTACCAACATGCACATAATACATGAGGAGATGTAAATTCAGAGGACATGTGTGAGCATGTCAGATACACAGAGGGACAACTTATGAATCCAACACTAAAAATTCCCCTGTCTTCTACAGATGTCATTGAATTGCTCTCTGCAAGCCTGCTCCAACCTGGGGGTTCCTTTCCACTGCTGACACCAGGAGCTGCTTACTGTGCTGCTCACCACTATCCATTGTTCTCCAATCCCATTAGTCATCAGCTCCAGCTATTTTCAGAGTTCTTTAATATTTATTTTTGTTATTGTTTTCCTAATATGTGCAAAGCAGAATTTTGTTGTTGATAGTGTATTATTTTATAAATATTAAAAATTATGTTTCCCCCCCATCCTTCCCTTCACGCACATCAACTGAAGATGCCTACATTAACCATGTTCAGAAATGTATGTCTCTTTCTGAATTTTCAGTTCATCCCTCAGTCAAGAGATGAATGGCATGATTCATTTTCTCTTTTGGATTCATGGCTTATCATTGCATTGCAGTCTAAAGTCTTTCCAAGTATATTCTCCCTATAATGTTCTTATCATTGTATGAGTTGTTCTTTTGGTTCTGCTCACTTTGCTTTGTTATCAATTCCCAAGGGCCAACCTAGTTTCCTTTGAAATTGTTAATTTCATAATTTGTAATTTCACAACAATATTCTATAGCAATTCGTATATGACAACTTATTTGGTCATTCTCCAGTTGGAGGATAATCCCATAGTTTCCACCATGAAAACAGCTGCTATAAATATTTTTGTACATATAGTTTCTTTTCCTCTTTCTTTGATTACTATAATGTGTGGGCCTAAGTATTTTGTTTGTTTCTTTTTTGTTTGTTTGTTTTTAGTTTCTGAGCATATTTTTAAATTGCTTTCCAGAATTATTGAACCAATTAACAGCTCCACAAATAGTACATGAATGTTCCTGTTTTTCCACAGCCCTATCAGTATTTATCATTACTTCTTTTGTTATCTTTGCTACTCTGATAGAGGTGAAAAAGTTAGTTTAATTTATATTTCTCTATTGTTTATTTATAGTATTTTTCATATGATTGTATATAACTTGATTTTTTTTTCCTTTGAAAATTTCGAGTTAATATCATTTAGCTGTCTATTGGGGAATGACTCAGTTTTGAGAATTTTGAATCAGTTCCTTATGTATTTTTAAATGAGACCTTTATTTGAGAAAATTGTAATGAAATTTCCCTCCATTTATTTGTTCTCCGTCTTGTTTTTCCTACATAAGATTTATTTGTGCAATTTATTTTTTATATATAATTACACTTGTCCTTTTTATCATTGTGTGATTCTATCACTGGTTTAGTCTCAAACTCTTCATATCCAAAAGATAATTGTTTCCTTACTCCTTTAATTTGTTTATAGTATAACCTTTTTTGTATCTTGGTCACATATCCACTGGAATCTTTTCTTGACGTATACTGTGAGGTATTATTGATATAACCCTAATTTCTGCCAGACTGCTGTTCTGTTATCCCAGCTTTTGTCAAATAGCGAGTCAAATAGATTCAAAAGATTGAATTAGATATTTTCCCTGTAATCTTTTTTATCTCTTTTCCTTCTTCTATTATGTCTGTTTACTAGGAATTTTGCTAGGAATCAATTTTATATGTTTCCTTTGATTCACAATGTAGAATAAAATGGTACTACTAGATTTAATTTGAAAATAAGTTGAAAATTCAGATAATGTAAATAACTGGATATCTTGTTATATACCATACACACACACATACACACACACACACACACACACACATCCCTTTATTAGGGATACACTAAAATAGGGATACATGAAAATAAAATAAGATTTTAATACATTTTAACCAGGTCTATACATTTTTAAAATTATTTGATTCAAATTTTCTATTTTATTTCTTAAACTAATAAAGTATTTACAAAGCACATTCAATCATCTCTGGCTACAGATTTGTATTTCTTGTTAAAATGACACATTGGTAAAGTCACTATAGACAATGAGTTGTGCAATATTGAGAATGACTAAAAGTGCAGAAAAAATATTAATTTTTATACCTCAAATTTCTTCTTTTAAAGGTATCTTCTCAGTGCTCAGCTTGGCATCCGAATGTACCACACTTGCTGCTGAACTTCCCAAAGTATCCTATGTGAAGGCCCTCGATGTCTGGCTAATTGTTTGTCTTCTCTTTGGGTTTGCATCACTGGTAGAGTATGCTGTGGTTCAGGTGATGTTAAACAATCCCAAACGAATTGAAGCAGAGAAAGCCAGGATTGCCAAGGCAGAGCAAGCAGAAGGGAAAGGTGGAAATGCAGCTAAGAAGAACACAGTCAATGGTACAGGGACTCCTGTTCACATCAGCACTTTACAGGTGAGGATGCTTTTACCCAGGTAAAGGATTTTACACATTTTCTTTTGGACCTCATGGAAAGAAATTATTTCTATTGGTACAAAAGACTTGGTGGAACTTTTTGTGCAGTTGTTTATCCTTAGAAATTAAAATTATAAAAAAAGAATAGCTAGCATTTATAATGCTTTAAGCTTTGCAAAACACTTAACATACATTATCTAATTTGATCTTCACCACAGCATTATGAGAAAGGTGTTATTATTTTTATCATTTTACAGATGAGAAAACTGAGGCATAGAAGGGTTAAGGGACTTGTCCAATGACAGTGAGCTAGTAAATGTGTGAGGTGGGATTTGAAATAAATTCTTTCTGTGTCCATGTCCAGTTTTTTCTTCAGTATAACACCTAGCTGCCAATGACTCAAAACTAAGAATAAAATGAAAAGTGTATACAAAAATAATGCTTGCTACCTAAAACATTGCTTGTTGAAAAAAAACCAAAAGCAAAACAGTTACTTTTAAAATAAAAGTAAAGGAGAAAAATAAACTTTTTTTCCCCAAAGTCTATTGTTTTGTCACAGTGAAGTTAAAGACGGAAGAAGAACTTTAATTGGTTAAGTTGCATAATAAAAGTCATCAGGCAATAAGTATTTTTGCAACCATAAGGGCCATGATTCCTAGGCAAAAATTTTCCTAGTTTTTCATAATATATGAAATGAACATGTTTGCCACAGCTGTACATGGAAAATAACAAATGAGATCACTGGACTCATGGGCTCAGTTATGTTATTTTTACTTTTCTTTTCATATAATTTCTTTCAAACCAAGCTAATGGGCATCACTAAGTAGCATAACCTATTTAAGTAGTTCAACATTTTAATTCTCTACTTAAGCTACTTTTGAGCTACCAGAATAATAGGCCTATAGGTTTTGAAATCACTGTGAAATGTTAGTACTGAAACAAGCCAGTGACTTTTAAAGTTAAATCATGTTAGAGTATTTATGAAAGATTTTGTTAATTCAGACTCCCTTGGCTGATTTGAAATTAAAAGATTCATGTGACTGAAAATCATTTTGAGATATGTTAAGAAGTAACCACATGACAACTAGAGATGCAACTTGGTTGCACAAATACATTGTCTTGGTTTAACAGCTTTGATGTCAAAATATAGTTATGCTTTTCTTTTCAGGAATTTTTGGTTCTAAAATATGTCATCTTCTGAAATACAAGTGTTGCTTAATCATTTCAATCACAACAACACAAAATCTTATTGTAACCACCTCTCAAAATAATAATAATAATAATAATAATAATTACACTGAGGAGCAATAGCAGTTGGAAACTGGATGATATTTAAAGCCAATTTAAGAAAAATGTTGCTCCTTCTGGAGGCCCTGAGTTCAAATCCAGCCTCAGACACATAATACTCACTATTTTTGTGACCCTTGGCAAGTCACTTAACCCCATTGCCTAGTCAAAACAAAACAAAACAAACCCCCCCAAAAAAACCAAGAAAAATACTGCTTCTACTGAGAAAAGGAAAGATGACAGAGAAAAAATTACATATGGTAGTTTATATCTATCCTGTTTCTAGGATGGTATTTTTAAATATAAATTCTAAAAATTTGGACTCTGTAGTGTACTTTAAAATTTTGCAGCCATGAATAAATAAATGTATAATCAAATTGTCCTTCTGCCTTTACTATGGTAGTGTTTTGGTCAGTTCTCTACTAATTCAGCTATCTTTAAACATCATGGTACAGTAAACTGAGGGCTACGATTTGATTTTGGAATACTTGGATTTGAATCTCATCTTTGATACTGGCTGTGATCCTAGACACATTTAGGCTCCGTGTGTCTCAGATAACTCCCCAGGACTTATATACTAAGTAATAAAGAGGTCAAGGTGGGTGATTTGCATTATCAGAGGGAAACTCTATAGTGAGAACAGCCCATGCTGATGAAATCCCAGGTTCTACCTATTGAGTCAGATAGGAAACACAATTTTACATGTGCATAAAATAAGTTATTTATTCACCTGACTCTGGTTTCTTAAATCAGAACCCAACTAGAGCTGATAAAATTCTTTGCAGAATGCTACCCTTCAGATCAAGAAAAGATCTAAAGATGATTTTATATACTGTACCAGCCTACTAATATTTTCTGTTTAGCATGAACTCTATTTTGCCTAACAGTTTTTTTATATGCTCAAAGCAAAAGGGCCCAGGTTTGAAAGTGTGAAGGAAATAACATTGGGCCATTTATTTCTATTTCACACATGATCCTTCAATACCTCATTATCACAATGCTGAATTTCTGCTAACAGAAATTTTGGGAAGTGATAGAAATTTATGAGAGAAAGGAAAACAAGTCCCACACTTCTCAAGGAGGAACAGTAGAAAAACATAACATTTGAATTAGACAAATGTGATGTCACCTTGTAAGTGTGTACTCTCAGTATGGTTTTGTCAGTTTTGTGTTACTGAGAAGCAGTTTTCTTACTTGGTGCTAATAATTGATTCCTACATGTGTTTTTCTTTGGATATTATTACTACTTTTCTTTTGGAATTATTTTATCACTTCCTTGTAGCTAATGGAAGTCATATCCAAGTGTAAATAGAACATCTAACATGTCTCCTTTTAAAGTTTTTGAGTCACATAAAAACTGCATGAAATATGAAGGCAAAAATCTCAAACTTCTCCAGGAGAATTGACAACATCCATTGTTACTACAAGGCATCTCAGCCTTCATAATAACTAACTTTTAGGTTAATTGGCATTATCGCTTTGTGTTCTTAAGGTTATGTTTATTATATTTAAATAATTTCTCATTTAATGATCAGAACGCTAGCATAACAAATTTGTATTTGGAATAGACTTTGTATAAATTATATAGATAATCAATCAATCAAACAGCATTTACTATGTCTCTACTATCTGCCAAGCACTGTGTTAATCACCAGGGAAATAAAATATTAAAAACAAAACAAAACAAAAAAAAAAAACTCTGTTCTCAAGGAACTCAGTCTAATGGAGAAGAGACAATATACAAATAACTGTGTATGAACAAGATACATACAGAATAAATCAGAAGTAGTTTCAGAGGGAAAGTATTAAAATTAAGGAAAATTGAAAAGGCTTTTTGCAGATGATGGGGCTTAACTTTAGATTTGAAGGAATACAGAGAAGCTAGGAGGTAGAAATAAGGAGGGAGAACATTTCAGGCATGAGGGACAGCCAAGAAAAAAATCCTACAGTGCTGTATGTGAGGAACAGCAAATGTTCAGTTTCATTGACTCTAAGAGTACATAGCTAGGGGTAGGGGGGAGAGTTAGATATGAGAAGACTGGAAAGGTAGGAAAAGGTCAGGTTATGAGGACCTTTAAAAGTCAAACAAAAGGGTTCACATTTATTCTGAAGGTCATAGGTAGCCACTGGAGTTTTTGAATTGGAGGAAGAGTTATATGATCAGACCTACATTTTATAAAGATCATTTTGATAGATGAGTTAATGATGAGTTAGAGTGGGGAGACTTGAGAGATCCTAGAGATGAGAGCCTACAGAGTTGTATCTTAAAAATTCTTCATAATATTAAATGATACAGTTGTTTAGGGGAAATGCAATTTAAATTTTGAAACAACTTACTCTGGCTTTGGGCATTATGACATCTAAAACTGACCCTTATCCTCTAGTTATTTACAGATAGAAAAGTCATGCCTGCACAAAAGCACTAGAATTTATAGCAGTATTTTCTTTGTTTTGGCCTTGAACATAAAAAAGAGGCAATTATTGCTTTGAAATAATATTTATCAGATGTCTACTAGCAGAATGTAATATAATTCTAAAGTTTTTGGCTGAGTAGATTCTAAGAACTTAATCTTATATTCTTGCAATATGAAGCAGGGAGATTACAGGCTGAGACAAATAGGTCAGGATTCCTTTGAAGACTTTGAAGCCCAGTTTTCTGGATTCTAAGAATCCTAAAAGAGTCTAAGAGGGTTCTAATATTTCAGAATATCTCAGTATCTTGAGTTATCAAGTCTCATCCCAAACTAGATAACAATAGTTGCTCCATATGAAAACCTATTGCAACATGTCATTATACTAAAAGCAGTGACAAAGTGGAGCACTGAATGCTTTGATATCCCAGAGTTAGTAACTAGGCACCCTCCTCAATCACAGTGTTAAAGAAAGCATGTGTGCATTTGCACATGTGCTTGTGTGCCTATGTATGTGCATGTGTGTGTGTGTGTGTGTGTGTGTGTGTGTGTGTTTCATTTTATGCAATTGCTTCCCCTGGAAATTGAGAATTCCAGATGGTGGAAGGTCATTGGATCTAACTCAATACCCAAATCATCATACCAATACAATCATACATGCTTTGTATTCGGAGAATATGTCAACATATAGTAGAGAATCATTTCACCTTCAAACCTAGAGAATGCAGTCAATTTCAAATCCATGACTTTTACAGCAAGACCAATGATTATCTTGGTCCCTAAACTCCATCACTGGGAATTACATAACTTTAAAATATTTGGTGGAGAAGCAACATGCCATAGTTGCCCTCAGAGTTCAGAAGAAACGGGTTCAAGTCCTGCCTTTGATCCATACTGCTGTGTGACTCTAGATAAAACACTTAACCTCTCAGTATCCCCAAACAATTCTTTAGTATTATATTTTGCAAAGCAGGTGTACATCTGCCCTAATAAATGAAATTCCCTTATCAGGTGTCTCCTATATCAATGATATCATACATGTGTCATCCCCTCCTCTCAAAAAATCCTAGGTTAATAAAGTCTACAATCTATCACTAAACATTTAATAAGCACTTACTATGTACTAGACACTGTACTAAATTCTGGGAATATAAAGACTAAAATTAAACAGTCCCTGTACTTGAGGAGCTTGCATTCTCGTGACAGAAACAATGCACAGCTAGGTACCTACAAAGCAAGTGAAAAAAAGTAAATATAAGTTGATTTGGGGAGGTGGGAGAAGAAGCAGTAATGGGGAGCAGA